GTGCATTGTTTTACTTACTTGTTTTTGACGTATCTGACCACACTACAAACTTTCCAGTGATGTCTGTGAGAAAGGTATATTCACTGGACAAGCTCGCGCGCATCTGCGTCACCGCGCGCTCAATCCACTCAGTGTGCTTTGTTTATCAGCTCGCGCACATCAGCTATACAGGCATTAATACTGAATGTTTAACATTATATTCATTGCATACATATACTTCGTAGTAGACATCCTTAACTCCATTCTGCTGTCTGTTGTTCTGTTGTGGGTGTTTCGTTGTCTGAATATGGCGCTTATCACATGCTGTGGTATCGGCGTTTGGTATCGGGGCATTTCAGTATCGGTGCATCCCTAATTATTGTAATGCTTTATTGGGTGGTTGCTCTGCGTGCTTAATAAACAAACTCCAGCTGGTACAAAATTCTGCAGCTAGAGTTTTGATAATACCTAGAATATCAAAATCAACTGCGGGCGGCGGATCCTTTTCCTATTTAGTGCTCAAACTCTGGAACAGTCTACCTAGCATTGTTCGGGAGGCAGACACACTCTGTCAGTTTAAATCTAGATTGAAGACCCATCTCTTCCTATAGCATCCGATGTACTCGTTACATCGTAAGAAGAATGGCATCTACACTAATAGTAGTCTCTTTCATTCTTATTCTGAGGTCAGCATAGCCACCCAGACCTCGACAACCATCAGCACAAGACCATGGGAACCAGACAAGTCCTCTGCACCTGTGTTGCAGCCTAGAATTAAACCACGCCGTGCTGATTTCGTCTGGCCAGAGGATAACTGGCTCCCCAACTGAGTCTGGTTTCTCCAAAGGTTTTTTCTCCATTTCTGTCAACGATGGGGTTTTTGGTTCCTTACCACTGTCGCCTTTGGCTTGCTTAGTTGGGGACACTTGACTAATTGCACAGACACTATTGGAAGAGAGCTGAACTGGATGATGACATCACTGAATCATCAATGATTAGCTGAAAAATGACTCTGTTATTGTCTTCTTGCATCATTGACAAACTATTTTCCAGTTTGACACTGTAAAGCTGCATTGACACAACCAGTATTGTATAAAGCGCTATACAAATAAAGGTGACTTGACTTGACATTGTGTTGATGTACTAACACTAGGGGCACACTTGGAAACCTGTGCATGTTCCGGTAATCCAGTGGGTAGTTCAGTGTTGTGGCAGTAGGGACACAACATCTTGTTCCTTTCATTAGGGAACAGAGATTACAGTAATAACTAGGGCTGTCAACATTAATGCATTAACTCATGCGATACATTTTACAATCCTTAACATGTTAAATTAATTTAACGCAATTAAAGCAAAAATTACTGAAGCACAATTTCTATTCTAACCTTTTAACTAGGACTGGACAATAATTCAATATCAATATGTATCGCGATATAATTCTTTTCAATAACGGTGATATGATTTTTAAACACATTTCGATATACATTACCAGTTTCCCATACATTGATTTATTTGTGGCGTTTGACTTCGTTGAATAAACATAAGCACTGCACGTTTCAAAATCAAAACGTGGAGCGGGTGTTTTATATGACTGTATTTCTGAAGGGAACCGACTGTCTTCAGAAAAGTTTCGATGACATTTTCATTTTATCTGATAAAGTAGCGTTCATGAGCGGAGCTGCTTTGATTACAGCCGTTACTGGAGAAACCGCTAGTTCTACCGCTCTCAATGCACCTCCTGCTGGCAGACAATCAACTTTTCAATTTTCAATAAGCCCGTCTCCAGCAACATGTTTTTGTTGTTGCTCTTTTTTTTCTGCAGCAACTCAGAGCACTTTTCATATTCTTTATCCTGGCTGAAGCACATTTGTTTCAATCTATAACAATAATCAGCCGCCCTACATTACCAGTCAAAGGTTTTTGAACAGTAAGATTTTTTTTTTTTTTTTAAGAATTCTCTTCTGCTCACCAAGTCTGCATTTATTAGATCTAAAGTACAGCAAAAACAGTCAAATTTAGAAATATTTTCTATTTGAATATATTTTAAAATGTAATTTATTCCTGTGATACAAAGCTGTATTTTCAGCATAATTACTCCAGTCTTCAGGGTCACATGATCCTTCAGAAATCATTCTCATATGCTGATTTGCTGATTATCAACATTTACAGTATATTTTTTCAGGATTCTTTGATGAACAGAAAGATCCAAAGATCAGCATTTATCTGAAATAAAAAGCTTTTGTAACATTATACACTATACCATTCAAAAGCTTGGAGTCAGTATGATTTCTTTCTTTCTTTTTTTTTTGAAAGAAATTATAGAAATTAATACTTTTATTTAGCAAGGATGCTTTAAATTGATCAAAAGATGATAAAGACATTTATAATGTTACAAAAAAATTCTATTTCAGATAAATACTGTTCTTCTGAACTTTTTATCCATCAAAGAAACCTGAAAAAATTCTACTCAGCTGTTTTCAACATAATAATAAATGATTTTTGAGCAGCAAATCAGAATATTAGAATGATTTCTGTAGGATCATATGACTGGGGTAATGATGCTAAAAATATAGCTTTGAAATCACAGGAATAAATTGCATTTTAAAATATTTCCAAATAGACAATAGTTATTTTAAATAGTAAAATTATTTCAGAATGTTACTGATTTTGCTGTATTTTGCTGGATCAAATAAATGCAGGCTTGATGAGCAGAAGAGAATTCTTTAAAAACAATAAAAATCTTACTGTTCAAAAACTTTTGACTGGTATGTTAGAAGATATTAATAATTAACAAGGTGAGTCTGAGATGTTTATTTGACAGTGATTTCACATTTCTTGTTTGTATGAAGGCTAAATACAAATAAATGTGAACATTAATTTATTTGTGGTGTTTTTTTTAATTAAAGTATTATATGGTTTTATATGAGGTGTCATAGACTTGGCAAATTATTATTTTTTAATTTTTTTAAATAAAGTTTGAATGCACAGACATCTGTTGTGCGCGTTCTTGGCAGTTTTTACAAGGCTTTTTTAAAATAGTGTTCATATCTATATCGAAATTAAGAAATATATCGTGATATAACTTTTGGCCATATCGTCCAGCCCTACTTTTAACCCAATTTTGCTTTTTTGCTTGAGATCAGATCATTTTAAGCCGCTAAACTCTGGGAAATTTTTCAGTTCAATGATCCAAACAATCCGTCCAAAACAGCCCTAATATAAAGGAAACAAGGCTGATTACATCAGAGATTGCAGAGAGAACAGAGACTCATGTTGCATTTTCAGTGAATTATTCATTCCAGTGTGTTTGGCTTTTAAACACAAGCTCTATCATATTTTGATTGTCTCTGAAGACCGCGAGCCGTCACACATCGCTCTGTGTTAAATACAGAGTGAACGGATTGTCAACACATCACACCACTGTATGGCCAGATGAGACACAAACTAAGTTTTCTCGGCTGGATAACCAGTCTCACTAGTAAAGTTTTGATGGATGAAGACTGCAATCAAGGTTAAGACAAGTGCAGTGGCATACAGGAGTTGTACAGTAAGCACGTGTGAGTCCGTTTTATATTAATGCGTGTATGAGTGCTCTTGACGCACTGATCGCTCATTGTATTTATGCACAGGCACAGACATTTCCATACATTCATGTTTGTTCCACACACATTCACGATAATGATTTGATTTATCATGTGTATGTTGCTGTGTTTAGTTATTCTGAATGGATCCGTGTTCTGTAGTAGATATATGCAGTCAGCAGGCAGTTGGTTTAGGTTTTTTTTGGCATCACCATGTTCGGTATGGCAAC